CTAGTGCTTCATCATCAGGGATCTTGGTTTCCTCTGTTTAAAAACTGCAAATTCTCTGATTAAAACCCCCCACAAATTCTTATTTAAAAACCCCAAATTCTACAATTAAAATGAAACACCACTATGTGTGTATGTATGTATGTATGTATGTATGTTGTATGTATCAGTTGAACACCATGTTTTATTGATATATTTACAATTTTAAAGCAATTTGGAAGCCTACCAGTGCCTCAATCACTATAATAAAATAAATTATAAATACCTGTAAATTTTGGCATTTGACTCCGGGTTTTTTATCGTGGAAAATCAGAGGTCCCCCTGCCCACTTCACTCACCAGGATGAAGGTCCAGGCCCCTCACTCCCAAGTCACAGCCCCCTGGCTCTGCTAGGCCACTGCAAGGCATGTGGTTGCATTTCCAGAATCAAAATGAATGTCTGTTCGCTTGCTTATTGGTTCAGTCTACGTAATTTAGACTAACCTGCAAAGATTGAATTAATTCAGCCTTGGGCTTTTTGATTGTCTGTATTAGTCTTAATGTAAAGATAATACTACAGTATTTTTCCTTACACTTTGGTATTTTTCCAGCTCGGTTTCTCTTGGGGAGGAATATGTTGTACAACGCAGCACCTGTGACACTGACTACTAGTGACACATAGACTACATCAAACTATTTAAGTGCATACCTTAGTACTTCCCCAGAGTATGCACTTACCAACATTTTTTCAAAAGCAACCATATTTTAAAGGTCCTGTGCCTGCGGCTGCCAGAGCCAAACCTGAAGCCCAACTGGTCTCCTAGAGCAGCCTGTGCAGGGGAAGGCCAGCCTGGAGGAGAAGTGGCGTGACCAGCTAGAGGCAGGCCAACCCCAGTCTCTGAGCCTCAGTGAAGCGACCATTGGGCCTGAGCACAGGGGCAGAAAACAAAACAGCAGGGGCTGGCACTGCTCAGAGCCACAACGCAAAGGCAGGGGGATAGGACATGACAGCTGCAGCTGGACCTGTGTCCTGGTGCAGTGGGGGTGCTGCTGTTGGGAGGGAGTGAGAGTGGGTTGGGAGTGAGGGGCCCTGGCAGGGCTGGGAGGGGCTGTGGCTTGGGGGTGACGGGCGATGGGAGGGGCAGGGGCAGGGCACTGGCATGTGAGGGCTGCTCAGCGCCACAAAGCAGTAGGGGCACGGAGGAGGGGTCGCTGCAGCTGGGCCTGCATCCTGGTGAGTGAATGACACAAGGAGAGCTCTGATTTCCTGTGATAAAAAGCTAAAATTAAATGCCAAAGTATAGAGGTATTTAGAATTTATTTTTATTATAATGATTGAGGCACTGATAGGCTTCCAAACTGCTTTAAAATTGTAAATATATCAATAAAACGTTGTTTTGGCAATTTAATTTTAATTGAGGAAAAACACGGATATGGGGGTTTTAAGTAAGATAATATGGGATATTTAATCAGAGAAAACCAGGATCCATGTAAATTATTAGACACCTACTAGGTAGAGTTTGATGTGGAAGAAAATCTCAAAGCAGTTTTCCAGGACAATCCCCTAGCAAAAATCAAAATGCCTGTCCTTTCCTAGGAAGGCTTTCAGTTTAGGGTGGATACACCTTTAGTTCCCTAGTTATGCCTCCCATCTTCTTATCCTTCCACCCTTGCAACCCAAATTTTCATAGGTACCTGTTTGGTAAGAGGATTATTCCTCTAACTAGTACTCGCATAGTAAATTTTTTCAGCTACTTAATAAAGTAGTCCTTGCTTTTTTTATTTTTTTTTATTGATGATCTTACCCAGCTTGTGTATGACAGACTGTTGAATTCAATGCAGAGCTGTCCCTTGCAAACGTGTGTGTTTGTGCCAGCAGAGAGCTGGTTTGGGTGCTTTGGCTGGGTCAAAGTGAGTTGAGAGGCAGGGGGAGTCGGCGTTTCCTTAAAGATTATTAATCAACCAGACCATCAGTCTACAGCAAGTTACATTTCTCACAGTGGCATCAAACTGTTGTTTTTCTAAGTACCTCATTACTTCCTGAAGAATATCCCCCACGCTGTAGCCCTTTGTGGCCACTTTTCAGCCAGCAGAGAACTTCTTCAGATCCTTCTTATTTCCATGCATGAATGACAGATTAGGCACATTGAACTGGGTGAGATAGACTGAAGCTGCTTGTTTTGTGAGCTGCTGTTGGCATTCTGGTTGGTCACTACTACTTGAGAACCCGAAGACGAACCTGTAAATGGGTTTCTGTTCTGTTTTTATTGGAAAGCTCTCCTGGGTGTTGCTTGAGCTTTTGCAGATGAGGTACCAAATGCATTGGGTTCCTCTGACAAGTCACCTATAGCTATATCAGTGCCACTGCCTTTGACCATGAAGAGACATAACTTTATCACAGATTCCACCAGTTGGTCAAAAAATTGCCTGTTGACCTGATCCATATTGTCAGACTGCTCCATGGCTGAATTCGGCTGTTTGGCTACGGCCTGTTTGCCAGGCTCCCATTCGCTGGCAGGGGTATGCTTGAAGCTCTTGTTTGTTTCGCTGGAGCTGTCTTCTATATTGAACCCAGCTTCATGCAAGACCTTCTGTATGATGGACAAGAGGACACTTGATATGTCTCCCTTTTGGGAGTAGAGCTGCTGTTGGTAATCGTGCCTTGTCCCTGCTGACCTCGACCCAGAAGCCTCTGCAAGGGATTTGGAGCTTTGGCTGTTCCCAGCTTTTTCAAAATGTGCATCGCGGGAAACATACCCAAACGAAGTGGCACGTGATTCACTAGAGTCCTTGCCATTGTTTGTCTGTTGCAGTAGATGTTGCTGTATCAACATTAAGGCAGTCACAATGAGGTCTTTTGCATACTTATCCATTGAGCAGTGCTTTTCTGAAGGCTTGCATGATGACGATTGAGATTTGTTTCCTCCTTTTTCCTTGTCTTTTCCAGAGTTGTGCATTGCACTTTGCATTGCTGTAAACTGCATGGCTTGAGATTTTGGGTCCTGGGACCCTGTTTTAAGTGATGTAAATGCTAGACTTTGAGACCTGGATTGTCCCTTATCTTCTCCTGCTAGTGCTTGAAAAAGGCGTTTAACCATTGCCTCCAGAATTTCAGTAGACTTCTGATTTGCTACACTGAATAGATTTTTCTTCACAGTAGCAACAAAGTCAGAGTTTGTCATGAGCTGACCTGTGACATTATGTAGATTTTTCATTATTGAGTCTATCAAGTCTG